AGTGAAATATTTCAATTCTGAAAGAAAATAATTTTCAACTCAGATTGAGGTACCCTGCAAAGCTATCTCTTATAATTAATGGAGAAATAAGATATTTCATTACAAAAACAACTGAAGAAATTCGTGTCCACCAAACTAACCCAGAAAGAGTACTGAAGGATATTCTAGATAGAGATAAAAGTGACCACAATTCATAGAACAACAACAGAGAGAAACCACCAAGCAAGGCAAGCAATTAACAAAGGAGAAAAGAAAGGAACAAACAAAAGGAAAGCAACATGACAAAGATAAACCAATACTATTAGTAATAACCATCAATGTAAATGGCCTCAATTCAATTAAAACAACTAGTTTAGTAGAATGGTCAAAATACAAAATCCAACAGTTTGCTATATACAAGAAACACATCTAACTCAAAAAGAAACTTATAGACTGAAAGTCAAAGAATGGAGAACAATATTCCATGTAACAGGAACCCAGAAAAAAAGCATAGGTACCTATTCTGCTTGCAGACAATGTGAACTTCAAACCAAAAATGATCAAAAGAGATTTTAAAAAGATCACAATCTATACATTAGAGGGAAAATGTTGGGGCTGGGGATTTAGCTCAGCAGCATAAGCACCTGCCTTGTGAGCAGGCAGTCATGAGTTCGATCCCTGGTACCAGGAAAAAAAAAAACCTGCCTTGTGAGAGGGAAAATGTAGAGGAAGAGATAACAATCTTAAATATATATGCACCAAATATAGGAGCACCCAACTATATAAGACAACTAATAGACATGAAAAATCAAATATGCAATAACACAATAGTAACAGAGGACCTAATACTACATTGTCATGAAGACCTTAATACTACATTGTCATGAAGAGATTGATCAACTAGACAAAAACTCAGCAAATAATAGAATTGAATCAAACCTGTGAACAAATGGACTTACCAGATGTTTACCAAGTGTTCCACCCAACAACATCAGAATACACATTCTTCTCAGCTGCACATGGGATGTTCTCTAAAATAGACCATATAATAGCCCATAGAACATGCTTGAGTAAATGCAAAGGAACTGAAATTATCCCATGCATACTACCTGACCATAATGCATGTACTAAAATTGAAATTAATGGCAAAAGCAACTGCAAAAACTACTTAGACACATGAAAAATTAATAACACCCTTCGAACAACCAATGGGTCATAGATGAAATTAAAGAAGAAATTAAACAATTAAATGAAAATGCCAATACAACATACCAGAACCTGTGGAAATGAAAGCAGTTCTAATAGGGAAATATACAACAATAAATTCTCACATTAGGAAAACAGAAAGACCACAAGTAAATCACCTAATGCTGTACCTCAAGCTTCTAGAAAAAGAAGAGCAAGTTAACACCAAAACTCATAGAAGAGAGTAAATTATAAAGATCAGAGCAGAGGCTGGAGATTTAGCTCAGTGGCATAAGCTCCTGCCATGCAAGCAGGCAGTCTTGAGTTCAATCCCTCGTACCAATTAAAAAAAAAAAAAGATTTAAAGATCAGAGCAGAAATTAATGCAATTGAGACTATGAAAACAATACAATAAATTAATGAATCAGAGTTGGTTCTTAGAAAAAATGAAACTGATAAACCACTAGCCAACCTTATCAAGAAAAGGAAAGAAAAAACTCAAATTTATGCAATGAGGAATGAAAAGGGTAAAATTACTACAGATCTTCTAGAAATTCAGAAGATCATCAATACCTATCTTGAAAATCTTTACTCATTAGGCTGGAAAATATAGAAGAAATGGACAGATTCCTAGAATCATATGCTAAATCAAGAAGATATAAAAATTTTGAATAACCCAATATCAGTTATTGAAATTGAAAACATAATTAAAAAGTTAGCAACAAAGAAAATCCCAGGTCCTGATAGATTCACAGATGAATTCTATTTTAAAAATTTAGAGATGATTTAACACCAATACATCTCAAACTCTAATGAAATTGAAAGGAAAGCAATTCTCCCTAATTCATTTTTGGAGTCAAGTATTACTCTAATTCCTAACCCAGAGAAAGACCCAACCAAAAAGGAGAACTACAGGTCAATCTCTTTAATGAACATAAATGCAAAATTCTCAATAAAATACTAGCAAACAGAATGCAGCAGAACATTAAGAAGACTCTACACCATGGCCAAGTGTGATTCAACCCCAGGAATTGAAGGATGGTTCAACATACACAAATCAACATACACAAACCAACAAATATAATACACCAAATCAACAGAGCCAAAGACAAAAATCGCATGATCATCTCAAAAGATGCAGAAAACGTTTGTTAAAGTTCATGATAAAAACTCTACAGAAGATCAAAATAGATGATCTTTTCCTCAATGTGATTAAAAACTATCTATAACAAATCAACAGCCAACATCATACTAAATGGACAAAAACTGAAAGCTTTTGCTCTAAAATCAGGAAGAAGACAAAGATGTCCATCATCACCACTCCTATTCAATATAGTTCTGTAAATGTTATCCAGAACAATTCAACAAGAGAGAGAAATAAGAGGAATAAAGATAGAAAGTTCAAAGTCAAATTATTATTTGCAGATGACATGATACTTTATACAGAAGACCCCAAAAACTCACCAAAAGACTACTAGAGTTAAGAAGCAAATTCAGCAGTGTATCTGAATACAGGTCAATACTCAAAAATCAATAGCATTCCTAAATACAAACAACAAACTCACAAGAGAAAACTTATAGAAATAATACCTTTCACAATGGCATCCAAATACCTGGTATTCCAATAAAATATCTGGAAATGCTAATCATCGTTCACAGTGTGTTGAGAGAACCAGGTGTGGTGTTGTATGCCTGTAATTCTCAGGAGACTAAGAGAGGAGGTTTAAGCTTTAAGGCCAACTTCAGCAATCTAGCAAGCCTGTCTCAAAACAAAATAAAAAGGGCTGGGGATTGTAATGGCACATAGCTTGCCTCGAATGCTTAAGAGCCTGGTGTCGATACCCAGTGATGCGCTCAGAAGTTGTCTCACAACTCTTTTCTCATAGCCTATCACTATCATTTACCACCCCTGTTCTCTATAACTATATGTATTTTAAGGATATTTCCCTGAGAATAACTAGGGAGAAGACCCCACCCTTCTAACTTCTGGGTCTCCCCCTCAGACACTGGTTTCCACATAAAGTTGGACACTTGCCCAAGAGATGTCTGACATTGAAGAAAAACGATCTGAAGAAAAACAATCTCACTCTGTCACTGCCGTTTAAAATACTATTAACCCAGAGCTACCCCATAAGCCCTTCCTCCCACTGAGAATTATAACCCCTCTTCACAAGAGAATGTATGCATATCCAGTATTGGATAATGACCTATGCAATTTGTAGTAGTCACCAAGGATTGGGGAAGGAACGTGGGAAAACTTTTGAAAGTAACAGTGACAGTCATTAACTTGATTTTGGCATTGTGTCATGGAAATTAGACGTAGATATCATTAAACTGTGCACCTTAATTATGTGTAATTTAATGTTCACTAATAACTCAAAGAGGCTGCAAAAGGTACTAAAGATTAAAGAAAATCTATGAAGAAAATCAATAAGTAAATTCTTTCCCTCAAGTGAGACTACAGGTAATAATTTTATTTTTGTGATAGATGTAATAATATTTAATGCTCTGCATTAAATAAAATGCCTATTGGCCACAACAATTGATGGGGAAATTGAGGCCTAAATTGGGCTACAGCAATTCCATGTCTGTCATAACTTAATGTTATTTAGGTTTTAATTTTTATTCCTTGATACCTCCGAATTTTCTATAATGATCAGTTGATTCTCTCATAATAAAAGCCTTCTTTTGGAAATAAGTGCATGATGAAAAGACTAATATAAAAGACCTCAATAAACGTTGAAAGTATTGGATGCTTAAAGATATTGAAATGAACAGGACATTGTTGCCTGACTATTGGTGTGGCTAGAGGGAAAGACTACAGAAGAGTCCATGCTAGTCTAGAGAAAAGAAAATAAAGGAGTTAGGCATAATTCTTTTCATAGTGGTCTCAGTTCAGCTTTTATTTCATCTACCACAAATCCTGTATGACGGGATGCTAAAACAACTATTTATAGTTTATCCCTCAAAATTCAGGGGAAGATGGGGGCAGCAATCAAGTTACTAGAATCCTTGTCATTCAGGTACTATTTTGATGTCACTGAAGGATGATAAGGACAGTCCAACCTGGATAGCAGCTGCAGGTTTCAAGCTCTAACACAGCTAGCAGTGCTCTGGGATCCACAGGTCTGAAATGTATAACAAAAGGTTTTACCTCTTGGGATAATATCACTTTTAGAAGACACTACCTTTTGCAACAAACTTAATAACTCAGGATCAATAAATATTTGAAGTGAGTTCTAAGCTATGGAACAGACCCATCAAGGAAAGACAGATAGCCCTTAGACAGAGGGAACGTGTGCTTCCTCATTCTACACACTCACACACAGAGCTGCAGACCCTGTAATATGAAAAGTTAGGACCCAGGATCCTTTCATACACTCTGTGTATTTCCACACACCAGCACCATCCTAATGTGTGTAAGAGAGGTAGGACACACTGACCTCAAAGGAACTAAAACTGAAATTTTGAAGACATGAATTTTTTTTTCTTTTTCAAAGGTGCATCCATGTTAAAAGTTAACCTCCTCTCTCCATGAGTCATTTCACACACCTGTGTGTGTCTCCTAAAACAGGCAAGTAAAATGCTGCATACTTCAAAGTGCTAAAGTTAAGGGAATGAATCCTTCCCTACTTCCCTCTCATCTCCACAATTTTAACTTACAAAACTATTTATAAAGTTCACTTAGCCCAAGCAGAAATCAGAACATGAGCTTCATTAAGGACTGGTAGTTAGTCTTCTTTAAAATATAAAAGCATAATTCTGCAAGTAAGTGTAGATATTCTTCCACTTTCTCCTTGAAATGTGGTCAGCCAACCTAGTCAGTCACCTGTCAGATGGCCCCGAATCAGACCAGTAGTTTTCTGAAGCTGTTGGTTTCAAGCAGGAGCCTAAACTGCTATCTTTCTATAGTCTGTTGTCTACTTCAGAACCTTGAAATGTAATGGTCAATTCATTATAAAGGAACAACTTACCTGCCACCATGGACATGGAGAAGCCTGGTCCCATGGTGAGCCTGCCATCACTGTGGGCCCAGAGGAAAAAAGCCATGCCTCCTCCATGAGCCTGCTATAACGGCCCAGAGAAGAGAAAGCCATGCCCCTGGGGTTTTGCAGCCACTGCAGGGACATGGATGAGCTGCTTTCCTAAACCGCCCCAGGAACCTTGGATCAGAGGAACCCAGGTGTCTAGCCCAATTCCCTGTACCACCAAATGGGTAGCCAATGCAGGAAACACCTGGGACTCAGCAACTGGCTGATTTGAAGGAACATAGGAAAATGTAAAGGTATAGGAACAAGGTACAATCTCAGACCTCCAAACCCACAAAGAACAAGTCCAGGAGACATAAACTCAAAAGAAATCAGAAGTTACACACCTGAAATTTCTGAATGATAGCAACTGAACTAAAGAGACAACTTAGTGCTTATATTGTTTAATTAATTTTTTATGCCTATATTTCACCTAGAACAAGTCTAGGAAACATAGACATAGAAGAAATTAGAAGTCACACACCTGATATGTGAGAGATGATGGCAAGTAAAGAAACAACTTAGTGTTTGTGCTGTTTGACTGACTTTGTATGCCTGTGTCTGGTGGCTTGAGTATCTATTTACATGATAACAATGTACGTTATAGTAACTATGGTTGATTTCCTACTGTCTTGCTTTTGAAATCCAATATCATTTCCATTATTTAGTTATTGTTTTGTTTTGTTTTATTCTCTTTTGCAAAAAAAAAAAAAAAAAAAAAAAAAAAAGGTCACTTGTCAGGCACTGGCAAAAAAGTTGGTCCTAATGGGAGATCTTCTGAAGCAAGTCCTGTTCAGTGTGCTTACCTCAAAGCCAATGATAGTGTTAAGTCTTTCTCCCTTTGCACAGATTTATAAAATACACAAAAAATAAATAAAAAGAAAAAGAATTAGTTGAGTTAGAAGCATCATAACTACCCATTGCATTGTGCCTAGTCAACATACACTGACCAATTAGCTCCCCTGAGGAAGGTTAATTAAAGGCAGTCTGCTATGCTATGAAATACTTACTCCAGAACTAAAGTGATTTCATGAATGATTGAGCTGGACACGTCATAAGATTGGGCATCCTGGTATGTAAAAGTTATGGATCACAGTTTACTGCTGAGCTCACAGAATACATTTTCAGCAAGTGTTAGAGGAACTCATCAGGCTGAGAAAATGACTGAGGAGGGGGAATTCTCAAGTCTCCCCACTTTCTGATGGGAAGTGGGGTCAGGGTGGTGGCCATTCAGGCTACCTATCCCATGAGAGAGCTTGACCGACTACAGGAAGGCCTGTCAGTGTACAGCTCCGACTAGTTCCCATACATCTCTGCAAAAGCTAATGTTAGTTGGTTGCATCACTGGCTTCATGAGCTAGTCTTAGTGCACTTATTTACAATCTAATTGGTACCATTTTGCCTTACTGACCAGAGATCTTGCTATAATAGATGGGCAGTAATGTGACAATTGTGATGAGCAGTCTATACGCTTGTCTAAATAAGTGTCTATGAGATCTAAAAACACAGTGTACAATAGACAATCCTTCTTAAAAATTGTCTCCATATTACAGAAATCAAGGCAGAAAGTAATTACATAATTGTCTAATGTCATAGCTAGCACTTATGCAGCCAAGATTGAACCCAGAGATCCAGTTCCAGAGCATCAGCCAGCACACTGCACTACCCTGCACTTAGACATCTCCATGGAAAAACACTCTATGGAAAAGCCACTTAGACATCTCCATGGAAAAACACTCTATATCAAAACGAAGAGTGAGCTCTGCTCTGGTGGGGAAAATAAAGTTGGTCCCTACTCAGATCACCTCCTAAAGCCACATATTTGGAGTTAATGAAGTTAAAGCAGTATCCTGTTCAACCTGTGGCCCAGGGCATCAATTCCTTCTATAAAACCTCTACCAGCTTCCTCCCATAGGTCACAGACCTGGTATGGCTGCAAATATCACAGTCAATAAGAAACAGTACTTGACATGTACTCCATATGCAATCATCCTAAGAACTTTATGTAAGGTAATTGCCATCAAGTAAGACGCACAGGATTCCTGTTTTACAGACTAAAAAATTAAGTGAATTTTTTAGTGAAAATGTCAGTTGAGTTACCTAGGGTCACCCATCTTGAAACTGGTAGGCACAATATTGTTTTTTGGAACAGGTTTAAGGAATCAAGGTCTGGGTACACTCTTACCAGGGAAGAAAGACGGGATGTAATGCAAGGCACAGCTATTGTCTGGGCTCCAAGGCGGGTGTGTAAACTTAGCAGTGTTGCTACTAATGTTCTCTGCATTCAGTTCATTCTTTCTGTGAGCTGCCTTTTTGTTGCTTCTAGTAAGTATTTAACCTTGTTTTATCTTTCACTAAACAGCACTTAATGAGCACCCCATATGAGCCAAAGCCTGATGTAGGTAATGTGGATAAAATAAACAAAATAGAAATTCTTCCTCTTCTAGAGCTAGTGTACTATTGAAAGCAGGAGGGGTGTGTGTGTGTGTGTGTGTGTGTGTGTGTGTGTGCCAGAGAGCTATACCTAAATCTCCGTGGATGAAGATAAATGATAGAGATAAAGATTTAAAGATAGAGATGATAGAGATTTAGACCTAAATATGGGGGGAAAGAGATAAACACATTTTCAAGGAGAGATATAAAGATTTTGAGATGCATAGACAGACAGACAGATAGATAGATAGATAGATAGATAGATAGATAGGAGATAGAATAGACAACAGAAAGATAAGAGAAATGGGTAAACAACACAAAAAGAGAAGAAGAAAAGATTTGGTGGTATTAGGAAAATAAAGCAGAGTAAGAAGAATTGAGAGAGACTGAGTAAAATGAGGGGGATAAAATTTTATATCAGTTAGTATGGAAAGCTTTGCTGATACAATGACCTCCTTAAAGAGGGTCTTTAAACAGTTACTTCATATCCTTTGGGTCTTTATATCAAAGAAAGTGTGGGTTCAATGTGTCCCATTTAAACATCCCCTGAGAAGTGCCTAGATATTCATTCATTTATCTTGTAGATTAGACTGTAATTTCATTATGCAAGATTCTGTGGAAGATACTATGGATGTCTTAAACTTCTTGAGACTAAGATTTGTGTGCATGAAAGAGCTTTTCTGAGAAGCACCACTGGGACACCGGAAAGTTCAAGATCAAGGGGTGTAGCACTCGACAGAAGGACATGCTGACCTCAGGCCTCCTAAGAAGTTCTGGAGCTAAGGGAACCACAGTGCCCAGCAGGACAGATCTTTGAACTTTCTCATCATCCAGGAACTGGAGGCAGGCTATCCTGGAGGAGGGATGCTCCCTCCTGTCAAAGACAACTGGAAGAGAGGAACTCAGGTGTAAATTTGTAACAACATTCACAGCAACTTCATCCATGAACACCCTGGCTCAGAAGGAGCAGTCACCACACTGACTCTGCCAGGGCTTTATCATGAGATTGTTAAGAACATTTTGGTCAGAGGTACTTGGGGTCAAACCGTGTTTCCACCAATTATCTACTGCTGTGGTGGATTAACTAATGGTAAATGTGTAAAATCCAGCTGAACTGAATCAGCATGGTACAGGCCCACCTGAGGATTGTTGCCAACAGCATAAAAGGAGAACTGGGGAAGATGGTGTGCTGTTGATTGTCCTGGAGAAGCTTGTCACTCTGGTTTTCTGCATATGAACTCAGCTGTTACCCTCTGACGAGCTGAGGTCCTTGCTGTCATTGAGAGTGACTGCAGTTCTCTTCAGGCGAGCTCTATCTTCAAGCATCATTTCCTGTCTCCAGTGCAGATTCCTCAAGCTACTGGCACAGCCCCTTCACCCTGTTGATGCAGACGGTCTAGCTTCCACCACTGACCTTTGAGCCTTCCCAGTGCAGATCCTTGATATAGACTTACATGAAAGATTGCCATGGGCTCCAGTTCTTCAGCTGGACTCATGCAAGACACTGATGTAGGATCCAGGCCTTCAGCTGGATTCTTTGGGTACATGGAAAGCTCTCCTGCACTCTTCTGCATTTGATTTTTGAGTGAATATTACATAATAATCCTATAAATTATGTATCCTGTACTAAATACATTCCCTTGTAAACCGTGTCATGGTTTATGTCGGTGGCTCCCAGGCCTCATGCATTTGCATTGAGCATTTGTGATTGATTCATTGTCTAATGCTTGGATTGATGATGTCTGTGCTACACCCATGTGGGGGTGGAGCCAGCATACAATGTAATAGCTGGAAGAAGGCGTGTCTTTCTCTCTCTCTCTTGGTGGTTTCCGCTTACTGTTTGCAGCTGCCATGAACTGCAGCCCCGCCATGCCACCTTGGAATGCCACCTCAGGAGCCAACTGAGTATGGACTGAAACCTCCAATAACTGTAAGAAATAAACCTTTCCTTTTCCAACTTTGGGTATCAGGTATTTTGTCTCAGCGATGAGTAAAAAAGTAACTAAGACACCCTGACTACAACTGTTTAACAAAACATTGTTAGGTGCCACATGATCTTATTATAGAAAAACTAATAAAATCGGAATAAAAAGAGGAGGAAGAGAATCATGGCTACATTCACTTGTAGTTAGTCTTTGCTCTGAGAGTTTAGTGGCCTGATGATAGTAGAAAACTACTCCCCACATTCTAGAGACTGGAGCCAGCTGGCACCTACTGGGTTACATCTCTTCATCTCAGTGTCTCTCCCATTCAGTCAGCACACAAGACTCTGTAAAGCATTGGGGCTCAAAGAAGTTCAAGTTATGGCCTTGCAGGCAAGTAATATGCAATCAGGGAAGGAGTGAACAGAAGGTGGAACTCTCTTCTCTGACCATGGCTCTTGGAAACATCACACCCTGATGTTGTTATCCTTAGGGCTAAGTCAGTGCTTGGCTTAAGAATCTTGTACATTGTGGAACTAGATCATTACAGACAAGAATAAGAGGGAAGAATGAATCATGACCAGAATC